GCCCCGCCGGAGCCGCGACCCGCTGCTGCCCGCCCCTTGCCCCAGTAAGGCTCCCCCGTGTCCGTGTGGATCGTTTCAATAAAGGTGTTTGACCCCGTGTCCGTATCCGTGTGTCTCCCGCACCCCCGGGGTCGGGGCCGTTGGGAGCAGGGATCACCTGCCAGCCCCGGCGCTTCCCCCGCTTGTGCCCAGTGCTTCCCCTCCCTCTTCCCGCCTTGGGTGACCTGCCAGCCCCGGCGCTTCCCCCGCTTGTGCCCGGGGCTTCCCCCCGCTCTGCCCCGGGCTCCTTCTCCTCCCCGCTGCGGTCACGTCCCGCCTTTCTTCTCGCCTCTTTCCCCGCTTTTCTCCCTCCCTTCTCTGCTCTGCCCGTTTCTTCCCGGGAATCCCCCCTTCCTGGGCTCGTCCCCCGCTCCCGGCTCTTGCTCCCCGCTCCGCGTCTCTCCCCGGCTTCGCTCCAGGCTCCTGCCCCGTTCCTGCGCCCGCCCGGGCGGGTCCCCCTTCCTTCGCGCTCTTCCTCCTCGGGCTCTGCTCTCTGCCCGCTTCCCTCTCGGCCCTTCCCTGCGGGCTGCCCCTCTTCTGGGCTCTTGTCCTCCCGCCTGGGCTCGTCCTCCCCTTCTCGGGTCTTCCCCTGCTTCCTTCTTGGACTCTTCCCTCTTCCTCCTTGCACTTTTCCTCTCTAGTCAGTCTCTTCCCCCTTTTTGGGGTCTTTCCTCCTCCTGCAGATCTCACCCCCTCCCTTCATTCCTGGGTGTTTCCCTCCCTTCTCCTGGGCTCGTGTCCCCCGCTGTTCCTGGGGCTTTCTCCCCTTATTCTTGGCTCTTTATAGCTTCTCTCAACCACCCCGTTCCCCTTGGGTCTCCACCTTTCCTGGCTTTCTTTCCTCCTTGTTCTTCAGTCTCTTCCCCCCTTCCTTCTTGGGTCTCTCCCTTGACCTCCCCACCTCAGTCTTGGGCCTCTTCTCCCCCTCGCCCACCTCTTCCTCCGTTCATTTTTAGGTGCTTTCCCCTTCATTCCTGGCTCATTCCCCCTGTTCTTCTTGCGGCTTTTCCCACCTTCCTCCCATCTTACTGCTGTCTCTGCGCCCCACCTTGGGTTTTTTCCTCCTGCCTCCAGGACTGCACACGAGCTCCTCTGCCTGGTGCTGGATCATGACCCGCCTGCAGCCCCCTTCTTCAGCCCCGTCCCAGGCAGGAGCCTGCTCTCCTGGGCATGGCCCTTCTGCCCGAAGGAGCCTTGCCCCCACCCTGGGCCTGCCCCCAAGCGCCCGGGACTCCTGCAGTGGGCCGGGACCTCCCCCTTACAGGGCAGGGGGGGGACAGACCCCCGGCACCTGCTGTACTGCAGACCTGCCTGCTCTGAGGGTGCTTGCCCTGGGCACAGGCAGGGCTTGCTGGGGTCAGCTGGAAGAGCTCCCTGCCCCACATGAGGTGCCCCTGCCCTGCCCTGCCCTCCCGCCCAGGCACTGCCCGGACCCTGTGATGGCAGGACCTCACAGGACCCTGTCTCCGGTCTCAAGTACAGGTGACTGGAACAAGTCTTCTCCGGCATGGCAAATATGATGGCCTTTGGCCCGCAGCAGCTGGGCAAGCACTGCTGGGCAAAGCAAGAGTGAAAGCCGGCCCCAGAGGACGCTGGCCCTGAGCAGAGTCAAACCCAGGGGCCCTGCCTGATAGCACCGGGCCTTGGCCACGAGGCAGGCAGAGCCTATGGCTTTCCGGGGGCTCCCTTGTAGTGGGGCCAGT